ACCAGGTTCTCATTATATGATCACCACTCCTCTAGACTATGATAGTATAAATAAATCCAATTGAAGGGCAGAAGGGAAAACTATGTGCCAAAGATCAATTATATTATAGAAAAAATTTTATTCTTTATGAGAATGAAATGACCTTAGTGAATATTTTTCTTTCATAAAGAACCTTCAGCAATTTGTATTTTAACCACATCTCCAGGTATTTTTTTAGCAAGGTATGTATAGCCCATTCACTTTTTGCTATAGAGAAATGGTGCCTTAAAACTGTGTATTCCAAACCTCTTCTTGTTAAGGGAATTTTTGGTTTTAAACTCAGCCTTTGTTTTTCTATCTGCCCCCACCCCCTTATACCTCAATATTGATGTAATTTTATCTTTATTGTAATAAAGATAAAAAGAGTAATGTCCTTGATGGGTAAAAACATTCTCAAGGCAAGTAAATACAGCCTTGTTTTGGTTTCTGTTACTAACTTGAAACAATTGCTTTAATTTAATGTTCTCCTGCCTGCCCTAGTGTTACTACTGTTCAAGCTGTAAACAGGAATGTCTGTTCATTTTCACCATGAATAGATTCACATTTTATAAGTCTAACTATCCTGTCAGGAAAGTATTTGTAGTCAGCTGGTCGATATTTAGATCAAGTCAAAGAGCTGAAAGTTATCACATGATTATTCTTTACAAGAAGATCCACTGGAACCCCTATACTATATAGGAACTCAGGAGGGTGGGTGGGGGAGGGGGTAACAGAACTATTACTACTATTAGTTCATAAGAAATTAATTCTGTCCAGTGTCAGAGTTACCATGACAAAGCTCCCAAAGTCTGAATACTTAAGGGATGCATGGTAATGATTTAGCTGTCGTTTCAATGAATTGAGTCAATTAACTTAGTTTTGATATGGTCACTATTTTGATGGGCATTGCACAAATTTCTAAACTCGGATAAGACTAATAAAGCCATGAACAAATAGCTCAATTACAAAATTATGAATGAAACCTACTTAACAAATGACATGTACTTTGAATCAACAGTGGCACAAATAATAAAGGCATTTTCAAAATGCATAAAGATATACTTATTAAAAGCATGTTTGTGTTTTTATTTATATTGAAACAAAACAACCTTAAATTTTTTCTATTGTTTAGATGCAGTAAAGACATGATATTATAAAGTTTTAAGTCAACATTACAAGCATGAAATATTTGTTAGCTGTTTTTTTAACTTATTTGCTTCAACGTTTTAACTTTTAAAATTATTCTTTAAGTACTAAAATGTTTAAAAATAAAAATAGAATATTTTACTTTAAACTGAAACAATGTTTGAAATCATCATCTGAAGTGTAAAATTATGGAATAATGGATTCTTATCCTTTATAGACCTTGTTTAAAACTCATCTAAAATATAGTTTGGTCTGAAGTTAATTCTTAGTGATATAAATTATAATCTTTAGCTATTTTTTTAATGAAACTCCTAAGCAATATATTGGTTAAAGATAAATGAACTTAGATTTAAGTCACAAAACAAGTTACATAAACATATACTGAAGCTTAAATAACAGGCAGTATTTAAAAGCAAAATGTTCCCTTTTCATCTTGGTTAAATATTCCCCATAGCTTGAATCATATAATTTAATTTTTTAACATTGAAATTAGAGAAATTCAAGTTGAACTAAGGCAAATGCATTTTTACACAAAGTTTTAAAACAGGCAATACTTCATTAAAGCTGGATGATACTATCTGCATTTTGTTCAACACAAAACATAATTAGGAACCAATTCCATCTTGTGGTGGCTAATATTAGCCACATCAAGTAACCAGCCTAAGTCATAAGGAAATTGAAGGCATTTGACTGGATATTTCAGTCACCACCTATGATTACAAAGAAAGTATAAAGGTTCAATAGTCTTTTGAATTGAGTGACAAGTGGCCCCTGTATGCAAGTTCTCACCTGTCTTCTTACTTCTGCTAATTCCTTTTGTTTCC